AGCAGCAGCAGCAGCAGCAGCAAGGAGCGGGAGCAGCAGCAAGGAGCGGGAGCAGGAGCGGGTGCAGGAGCAGCAGCAAGGAACAGAATCAGAATCAGCTAACTGCAAATGTTCAATACAATTTGATTATGATGTCAGACAGAGAGAGATAGAGAGAGAGAGAGAGGGCAGGGAGAGTTGCCACACAATTGTGGAGGAGGAGGAGCAGCCAGGGCTTGCCGCCTGGTGGTAACTGCACTTGATTGAGTGCCTTGCCATGGCATTTGAGTGGCTTTCGAGGAGCAGCAACAGCAGCAGCAGCAGCAGCAGCCAAGCACCCAAGTCAGTGAAAATTGCATAAATGCATGGCACTTTTCCACGATTGCATTGGCAACTCTGTTAACCCTGGCCAGCACACACAAACACCCCCGCAACCCCGCCACCCGCTGCATCGTTGGATATTCAAAACAGTTGGTCCCATATGCAAATGTTTGGCAAATGCCAAACTTTTTGGGGGGGTGGGGTGGTGAGGAACCATGGGGAAAAATCAACGACAGCAGGATACAGGATAACCAATGTCCTGGATAGCAGCAGCAGCAGCAGCAGGTGGAGACAACGACAACCCGAAAACAAATGCACACAAATGACCCATGTGCCGCCTTGCACATCCTCCTGCATTCCCCCAGGGTAGTGGAGGGGGTGGGTGGTCTAGAAATTGTTGGTAATGACGGTGGTACGGGCGGTACATGCAAGGACACTGGACTCCACTCGACTCGACTCGACTCTCACCCGTTCGATGGGCAATCAGACTACAATTGTTAATAATAAATGCATAATTTCCAATTGAATTTCGAATGTTTTTGTTTTCGCATTTCGGGGGGGTATGGGGAGAATTGATTAACGACTCGAATGGAGATGCGCACAGGAAGTGGAATGGAATCAGGTGGAATGTGTGACTGGAATGACTAAATCAGAACAGTTCGGTTTGGTTGGTTGGAGCTGCTGTTTTTGGTAGAGATAGATAGAGAGAGAGAGAAGTGGGGTAGCATAAGTGAGGGAAATATGTTCATATATTTGGAGGTATAAATTATTGTATGAATATGAACTGTTATTTATATCTTACACATGTGATATCTTATTTTTTAAGCTGCTAATCTATAGATTTTTTATGCATATAAATTCCATACCTCATATGTGCATAAATTATAATCTATAATAATTTAATTCTAATTTATTATAAATTTATAATTTATAATCAATATATTGATTTAACTATGCCTAAACTCTGTTTGTAATATATCTAAATATGTTAATTTTATGGAAATACCTCCCATAAATCATTTACACTCACTTTAATAGGCCATATTTTCTATTTACCTAACATTTCTAAATAATATAAACTTATAAATTCCATCTCTCATATGTGCATAAATTATAATGTATAATAATATAATTCTAATTTATTATAAATTTATAATTTATAATAAATAATTATTGATTTAACTATATTTAAACTCTGTTTGAAAAATATCTAAACATGTTAATTTAATGGAAATATCCTTCCCATAAATCATTTACATTCATCCTTGATAGAACTCATATTTTCTATTTACCTAACATTTTCTAATAATCCCCAAAAACCATTGCTAATCCATGCAACAGCAGCCTAACTCTTTCTTGGGGCTTTCCATGGACATGCTGGCAGGATGTGCCCTCACCTGCCCTTTAACCAGGTGGCAGCCAGCATAATTCCTTAACCCTCTACCACACGACTGAGGGCCACCAGGAGTGGACCCAAAAACCAACTTCGATTTGGCCAAGCGTAAACGAATCATAAATGTGGCTTATGCATACCAAATATTCAACATTTTTATTGTTTTCGATTAAAAAGTCATCAGAATTAGTGAACGTGGAAGCAGCAAGGAAAGAGGGTAAACAGGGCAAACAGGGGAAACAAGGCAAACAGGGGAAACAAGGGAAACATATGTAAAACGGACAATTTACTTAATTAGATGCCCAGAGTGGACAGAGGCTCGAAGGCGTTTTCTGGTGCGCTACTTTTACCACAGGGTTTCAGCTGCTGCTGCTGCTGCCTCGATCGGGTGCCCAAAAATTAGGCACGAAAAAAAAGTGAAGGTATCCCAGTGAGAGAACCCAAAAGAGAGAGAGATACAGAGAGAGAGGACACCTGCCGGAACTTTTAACCCAAAAAAGAGAAAAGAACACACGATCGTTCGGAACGTTCGGGACACAGGGGGGAAAGCAAAGCAGACACAGACACAGACCCTGGGCCACGCCCCCCCGTTGGGCCTGCAATTACTGTGTTAGTGTTGCTCATTAAAGTTGATGTCTTAATTTGGAGAGTTTTACATACACACACACAGACACACACACATACAGCAGCGGCAGCAGCAGCAGCAAACAGGACACACGAACCGACCCCAGATCGCAGGGAGGGGCACCCTGTAATTAGGCGCCGCGCCAACCAGCCCAAAAACCTGAACTGAACCTGAACCTGAAGCCAAACTCCGCACAGAACGAACTCAAACCAAACTGCAATCCAAAACGAAACAAAAAACAAAAAACAAAAATCGAAACCAAATGAAATGAAATTGTTAACAAATGAATTTTACCACGAAATTGGCTCGAGGGCCCACAAAAAGGTCCATGTCTGTCCATGGCAGAAAAGCGCAGACCCCAACCCAGAGTTAAATGCAAAAGACAAATAACAAGAGGAGCAGCATGCAAACAAAAAACATGACATATGGAAGTGCAGATACGCTGTAGGAAAATGGAGACGGAAGCATAAAGATAGCCCATGAAATGACGAAGAATTTTGGAATAAAAAAGGGATAACTTTATGCCAATTCAAATAAGATGCTTAAATATATATAATATGACACGATGGATAGCTAGATATTTCACTGGAAAAACGAGTATTTATATATCAAGTATTTATTTAAATCTCTACCAATGTCATAGCTCCCTATGAGCTCTAACCACTTTACTGGTCATGCCCCTGTTCAGCGCATAACAAGAGTAAAGGTCTGCCCTTCATTGCATTTTGATTACGCGCTCGGCAATTAGCAGCAGCAGCAGCAGCCGAAGCAGCCGTCTGGCGAGTAGTCTGCCAGCAGCAGGATCCACGGCATACACGCCGCCCCACATGCGTGGAGCATCCGCAGCAACTGTTTGTGGGGCGTTTGTCTTATGATGAAGTTGTCAGTGGCTTGAGCTACCGTTTTTCATGTGCAGAACAGGTCTTGGACGCGGACTGGGACTTGGACTGGGACTGGGACTTGGACTGGTACTGGGTGCATGCCTACTGTTGATTTTAGTCATAATCATTCTTGTTGCCGCTGTGTGCCCCCAAGCCGGCAGATTGCAGAAATTGCAATCCAAAATGTGGATGTGGCTTTATGGAACACCAAAACCAAGTGGAATGGTGGAGACCGCTGCCTGCCCCAAGGGCAAAGTGCGGCATGAGATATGTTTCAGCCTGGCAACAAATTGAATGACTTAATCAGGCAGAGCAGCGCAGCGCAACTCAAGCTTAAAGATTATAAAGCGATTGAGGGGGGACCAGAGGGAAAAAGAAATGCAAGAAAAATTGTTTCTACCCCCACTCTACCCGCACTCTACCCAGTCACAATCTTTTCTTTTGTAAGCCATCTTCAGTGTCTGCCTTTGATGGGACACAATGCAAAAATCTTTGGCAGCGCATCTGCCGCAGCAGGACCTCACCTCACCTCACCTCAGCTCAGCTCAGCTCAGCACACATCCTGACAACGATTCGCCCTGCTGCTCTTTGTGGTCCTCTCCCGCCAGGTAGCCACATCTCTTCCGTTCTTGCTGCTTCATGCAACATTTTGTATCAATGGCTCGGCCATTGGGCAACCATATCCTTGCCAGGATGCTGCACAAGCTTTAGTTACGCTGCTTTGATTTTGTCCCCTGCCTGCCCGTCTCATTGATGGAACGAACAGCTTAATCTCAGCCTGCAGGGAATGGGAATCCATGGCTGCCTGTAGGTCCTGCCAGCTGTACTGTTTGTTTTCATTGGCTGTAAGGACTCCCCCGGGACACGCTACTAATCACAAGTCGTTGCCTGTTGTCACTTCCTCTAATGAGCGAGTGATGCTGCAACACAACGCTCGAAAAAAAGAAAAAACTAAACCCACGGCATCTCCTGGAATCCCGGGACTCCCAGGGCTCCAGTTGCACGCACACGAGGCAGAGCAGCGGCAGCGGCAGCGGCATGCGTGGGTTGTGTGTGTGTGTGTCCTTTCGGGGCTTGGCGTCATCAAGTGCCGTCGCTGGTGCCGCCTGTTGCCCGACACTTGATTTCCCTAGACCATCTAATTTTATGCTCACAACTCGCGCCTCGCCTCGCCTCGCGTCGCATCGCATCGCTCGTCGCGTTGCAGTGTCAACTGTCAAATGTGTGGCAGGCAGCGGCAGCAGTTTCAACGCGTTGCAAGGTCGATGGAAATTGGATGCGGCTCAAAGTCTCTCTGTCTCGTGTGTTTATATTTAAAAGTGTCCGCATGCCCCTCTGGAAATTGGATAGGACACATCCTGTCGCTGTCTCATCATCATCAGCAGCAGCAGCATCTCCTGCTGGACCCATGCCCTTGCCACTCCTGCGACCCATGCCCCTTACCACTCCTGGGACCCATTCCCCTTGCCACTCCTGGGACCCATTCCCCTTGCCACTCCTGTACCCATTTCCATGTCCATGCCCATCATTTGCAGCTCATTAAGATCCGCTGTGTGGGCAGCCATCACACGCTTGTTACGCGCACCAACCAGACACCAGATACAGATCCAACAAGATCCAGAGATCCCTTCCCGTCACTTGTGCCTGTAAATGGATTTCTGTGGCAGTTCTCGTAAATATTTCAGCCCTGAGAACAAGATCTGCCAGCAAACAAGCGCATAAATATTACTTAAAGCATTTAAAATGCATTTTCACAGTGTTAATTATTCATTTTACTTGCAGATGCAGATGCAGGCAGCAGCAACTGTCGATGGTTTGGGCTTCAAGTTACCCAAAAGGATGTGGCCCGGGACTAATTTTTGTAACCCGAACGAATTGTTGTGAGTATTTAGTTCAAGGATAAGAAAATATGAGCAGTATGCCCCAGAGGGTTGAGAAGCAGAACTGATTCGATAGGATGCACTAGATCAAATAATGAAGGATAATATTTCCTATCATTTCACTCATAATATATGGGACTCTTGACTAGGAACTTATTATGGGATTCATAGGCAATCATTTAATAACAAAAAAATAAAAGCCGAATATAATATAATATAATATAATATAATATAATATAATATAATATAATATAATATAATATAATATAATATAATATAATATAATATAATATAATATAATATAATATAATATAATATAATATAATATAATATAATATAATATAATATAATATAATATAATATAATATAATATAATATAATATAATATAATATCCCCATAATATCTCCATCAGTTAAATGCATCATAAAACCTACATTAAATGGATATAAAATGATAAAATCTATTAGATCATTTAATAGAAGAGGGAAAATAATCTTTAACTTTGCAGCAACCCCAGACAAAACGTTTGCACCCCCACACTCCAAAAAGGGGACTTGACTCCCCTTCAGTTGCAGGACATTCAAAATATGTGCCTCCCCCCGCGTTCTTTTTTCGTGATATGAGAATAATTCACTTTTAAAGTCCATTTACCGGGCCCAAAAGCCATCGATTCCTGGCAGCACACATGGCATAATACCACTCGTACGATTATATGGAAGTTATAACAAGATTTTGCCCCACCCCTCTCGCCGTGTAAGGGTAGCACGAGGGGAGCCCGCATACTAGTCCGAGTCCGCTCCCTCTGTAAGCTCTTAGACGGCCTCTGCCTCTGCTTCTGCCTCTGCCACTGCCACTGCTTCTGCTTCTGCCACTGTTGCACGTTGTTTTATTTTATTTTTTTATGTTTTTAATGGCAAATGTAACATTATTTATAACTCAGCGGCGCAGGGGATAATGCCATATTAAATGTCAACTGCACTAGAAAAGGACTTTGGGGACATCCCCGCACACAAATCCCGGACATGAGAAATCTATTGCTCGGCCACATTTCATTCTTCTTTCTCGCTCCAAGGGAAGGGACAGGAAGAGCAGAGCTGAGCAGGGGCAGGGCCGGGCAGGGGAAGCCGAAAGGCAAGTTAAATCCTTAAGATGTCCCATGGAGTAAATCCTGTGTGGGTTACCTTTTTGCAAGAGGGTTGACCTCCGAGTCCGAGGTCTCCTTTGTTTTTACGCGCCACTGAAGACATCGAAAAGGAGTCGAGTCGTCGTCGCATACATATGACAGGCTAAAGGACCTTTTGGCCAGTAGCAGTACCCCGTACCCCCAGCTCCAAGCCCTACTCTCATTTTCAATTCCTCTCACATGCTCCTCACATCTGTCCTTCGTTCTGCGTTTACAGGAGCAACCATTTGCTTGCTTTCTTTTTCTTTCATTCTTTTTTTTTTTTTTGTAGCTCCCATTTCCGTGTCCATCCTGTGCCATTGATTTATGCACTGGGCTGTATATGCCTCCATTGTACTTCTGCTGCTGACCCCCTTCTCCTGCTCCTGCTGGCTACTTTGTATCGCTTTTGGCCACATTTGCGGCTGGCTCCCCCCAACATTTTGTGAATGCCCAACATGTCCGGATAATGACCACAGCAGAAAATTTCATTATCCATTCCGAATTTCGTTTTGTAATTAATTTAATATATCCACAGGCTAAGCATTGGGGCCATACTCTAGCAGAATGTATCCCAAATATGATTTGTAGAGGCAGCATTAAAGGGTATCATGGTTACACTTAATGGAGCTAATTGGAAGCCAATCAGCAAGCAAATAAAAAAGAAATAAATTGTGGAAAAGGCGTTGAAAAGTTGATCAGCAATGGACTTTTATATTTATCAGGGTAGCTACAGTATTAGCCATAAGTGTATCTCTTCCTTGCATTATCCTAGCCTTATCTGGACTTCTATATCGGTTAGGGTATCCACCATAAATGTATCTCTTGCTCTCTGGCATTATCTGCTCATCTGAAACACAGTCGATTCTCTCCAGCATTATTGTAGTGCATTCAACTGTTCACATGGAGCAAATGCCACATGTGTGTGTCCCTTGCCACACTCTGGCCAGCATGATAAGTATGAGGGATACCTCATCGATGGAAGCTGCTGCTGCCGGAACAGCCTTTGGCGTTCGTCTTTTGTCTAATTCTATCAATTTAATTAGTTTCTTGCGCTCCAATTGTTCGGACGAGCTCTCTGTTATGGAATCTATCGGCTAGCGCTCTGGACACTGGGGCTTTCAAGGAAATATGCACACAAAACACACACAGAGACTTTGCGGTCGAATCACGTACCAAATGAGCAGCAGAAGGAAGCCGCCGCAGCACATGGCAGCCCCTAGAGACACAGAGAGAGAGATAGAGAGATAGAAGGGGCGTTTGGAATTGTTAGAATCTTTTGGATGGGTGTGGCAGCTTCTTGTTCACACCTCCACCACAGATCAAGCGATCGATCATAATGGTTAGGGAGTACCGGGACTTTTACCCGAATTATGGGGAAAAATTTTGAGCTGAAAGAACAGTTTGACTTTTTGGCTTCTTCTGCTCTCAATCAGGGGCCCATCAATCATTGAATCCCATGGACTGACTTTTCATTTGTGTTGTCAACTCCTTCTTTTCTTTGAGGTCCTTTTGCGGTTCATCTGCGCTCAGTACTTCGCCTGCTCCTTTGGGTATCTCTCTCTCAATTTTCATGTGGCCTGGGGGCAGGGGCACAGCAGCAGCAGCTGATATCCTGCCGCCTTTGTTGTATTGTTGCATTGTGAGGTGTGAACTGTTCTCGGCACTCATGCATATCCTGTTGACAGGACTGCAACTGACTGACTGCCTGCTGGCCTCAGGTCCTTTGTGTTTTTTTGTGCCGGACAGAGCCGACAGATGAGCGGCTGAGAGGGCTGGGATACCTTCTTATCGGCGTGGCCTTCCTTTTCATTGCAGTCTTCCTTTTTTCCCTCTTGTGTGTGTGTGCCTAACATGTGTCCTACAAATGTTTCCCCCCCGCCCCTCGCAGGAGAAGACATCCTCATCAACAGAGCTCCTATCCGCACATTTTTAATTTATGTTCTCATCCACGGAACGAAATCTCAAAGAGGATACTCATTTAATGTTTCCTTACCACGGCTTTTGTTCACGGACCCGTCCGTCCGTCTAATAACTCAATTAAATGTTCTGGTTCTTGGTTTTGGTTCTGGTTCTCTTCTCTGGGGCTATCGATGGCAATGTGTAATCTCCAGTGAAAATGTTTGCCATTCTTCTAATTCAATATCCTGTTTGGCTGAGAAAAAATAAACCCCAAGGAGTAACCGCAGACAGGATGCACGGCACACGGCAGCATCTATCCGAGGAAGCAGAAATCATTACAGCAATGACAGGAATATCAATTTACTCACGGGACTGCCACTGCCACAAACCCAATGGCAACCAACCAAAGGAAGCGAATCCGAAGCGGAGCGCAACGGAACAAGCTGCGAATATTGCCTCGCGGGGTATGCCGTTTTTTTTTTTCATGCCGCTTAATTATGTCGCACGGGGGCAGGGGACACCAAAAAAAAAATATCGCGAATTCTATTGCCAAGGAGCCACAGAGATGAGAAAATGCTAAGGAAAAGTGTGACTCAGAAAGGAAATTAGTGTGATTTTTTGATATTTACTTTATCCCCTGGAACTTGCTGAGTGCATTTCTAATACTAAAAATTATTTAAATTAAGGCTACTTTTTGTGTTAGAAATTTCTAACAATTATCTTTGGCTTATGCTGCAAATAATAACCCCCAAACTATCAATATCTTGAAGAAATATCAGTTGCATATAAATATCCAAAGAATAATCCTTAAATGTTAATCGATCTGCGGCTGTCACTCCATAAAATTCCCATTTAAATCAATCAAAAGTCCAAAATTGATTGCTCAAAAGTCACACAAAATACACATAATGCACATTAGAAATTACAGTGACTGGCATTTGCAATGACTGTAACTCAAAAATACTTTTGTATCTCAGGCGGTGACTGGTGACTGGCGACTGGTGACTGGCGACTGGTGACTGGGTGACTCATGGCCGGAAGCAAAAGCAAACGGCATGAAAATTTGCCTGCTCATTGTTAATACAGGCACGGAGTACTCGTCAATGATTGACACAAGGCGTGGCAGCAGAGGGAGGATGGATTGGGGAGAGGGAGGGGTGTCTGTCCTTGTGGCAAGTGCAAATCGAATAAAAACACCGCAACGCAAATCAAGTTGAAAAATTCTATAGAAAATTGAAGAGCCTCATAATTGAGCCACACACACAAAAGTACTCGTAAAATGCGGATTATGCGGAAGTGCAGCCAAGATCAGGTAGTTCCATACACTCAATGCCAAAGCCAAAGCCACAGCCAAAGCCTACTTAAGTGCCTACTGTGCCTAAGCCTAAGCCCGTAATTGTGGGCTCAAATCTTCAGGAGGGTTAAGAGAGAGAGGGAGAGAGCGAGAGATCAAGACTAAGAACCGGACCAAAACCAATCAGCCACTTCATTTGCATCTTAAAGAGAGCCCATCGAATGCATATGCCTGCAAGCGGCTTAGCTACGGTTTCCGTTTTTCGGTGGGCGTAGGTCTCGTGTAGGCTCCTTATAGAATTATCGATATGATTAGAAACATAATTGAGCTATTTATAAGAAGCAGCTCCCAGCAAACTGCTCCCAGAATAGTTCCCAGATGACGATGATGTAACCCCCCTCCCACCAAAACGAAAGCCAAACAACAGACACACACGGCACACAGAGCAGAACGAGCTGTGAAACCGTAGGTGTCGTGAAAGAATAGCCACACCTCCCGCTGAACACCTGCACATTAACATTTTCATTCCAATTCGGGTTCGGTTCGGTTTGGTTCTTAATTAAAAGCTGATTTTCAGCTCCTCACACGCAGCAGACGGAGCATCGCCAAGTGCATTCACACAGTGGGTTGTCTGCCACACA